ATTTCTTGCTTTTGTTTCATGCTTCCATAAGGTCGCAATGAGCTTATTTAAAATCGCAAGAGACTTACTGAGCAATGCTTATTCGAATGTCATATCTTCTCTGGTTCGGTACAATGGTTTTCTGTTACTGTGTTTGCCTCACCAGATAAGCTCTATTTGCGTTAAAGACATATCAGCAGATATAACTTCTTCTATCTTATCGTTGATTCTATCAACTAACAATGAGCGAAGTATGAACTCACATACGTTGCAGATGTTAACGTCACATATGTGAGCATTTCTAGCTGCTGATATAGCGCTGCCGAATGTATAGAAAAAGTAGAATAGGTTTTGAAAACCGATAATGGTAGCATGATGCGAAATATGCTGCTGTTTTCAAGAAGTTGATAAGAAGACTGAAGATCATAGGATTTTCTGGAATTAGATAAATTATAGTAAAACTTCTGGATCTTCCAGAACTTCATCCTGTTACGCCGTCATTTCTAGCGTACATCGTATATACAAAATTTTGCGGGAGAAGCACCTGTTTGAATGCTAAAGTGTAATCATATTCCAGCGATGGCTCTTTACATGTTGAAGTTTTCTTTCTTTCATTCTCATTGTCGAACGGCTTGTGTGCGGTTGCTTAACCATACCGCTCTCATCGCTTCTTATTCAACGCCTAGTTCGACTTTGTTCTACCTGAGTATCCTGCTTTTCCTGTTCGAAGGACCTTCGCTCTGCTCACTGTGGCACGTGGGCAATCTCTGGTTCATTTGTGTGCCACCAACGAAGGTATAATATTGTTTCTTCTTGCTTATTGTAAGGCAGAGAGAAAGCTGCTATATTTGACGATCCAACTTTTGCTCTTATCTGCTACTATTTTGCTATGGATCTTCGAAGCAGCAAAACGCAAGGTGGAAAAGGCCAGCAAAATGGCAGCAAACCGATGGAAATGGTGCTCCCAAAAGAACTCCAGAAACAAGTCGAGGAGATCACGAAATCGAGTCGAGTCACGGAGGGCATCAAGAAAGTAATCAACGCTATCACTCAAGAATTACAGTCTCTTCGCCTTGAAAACCAAGGGCTCAGGCAAGAGTTGGAGAATATTCGCAACACAATGCCCCGTGAAATGTCGATTTCCAATAGCCATAATAACAGCGTATCTGAAGTTCAGAGGCCAGCGACTTCTGGTCATGTTCCTCCCGTACGAGAGGAATTACCATACCATGAAGTTGAGAGGCTTCGTTCTGTAGTTATTAGTGGTGTGCCTGAGCTGAAATCTGAAAATTCTAGAGAACGCCTATCTTATGATTTCGCAAGTGTGTGTAATATACTTGATTTCTTGAACGTTGAGTGTAACCCAATGACAGTGTATCGTTTAGGAAGACCTCTAGTAGGAAAAAATAGACTGTTAAAAGTAGTGTTACCCTCTCGTGTTTTTCAAAGGTTGATTTTAAAGAGAGCACCACGACTGCGTCATTTTTCTGGAAAGGGAGTCTACATACGAGAATCCCTAACTTTAGAACAGAGGCAACAAAGGCGAGAAGAGCGTAATCGCATAACTAGGAATCGAGATGGTACGTCAACCTACAATAACAGTCAAGATGTTACCATCTATTCTAGAGATGCGACCAATCGCTCCGAAAATATCGAGGGAAACTGAGACGTTTTCCTCGGTACGTTCGCTCATTGAGGTTTTTCTATTGTAACATCCGATCAGTCTCTAAAAACTCAGACTTTTTACGCATATTGCTGACTCAACATTATGATATATACGCCTTCTCAGAGACTTGGTTGAAACCTAATCACACATTGACCTCTATTCTGGGTACGATAACTGATAACTATGATATTATTAGATGTGATCGGCCAAAAAAACCTGGAGGTGGGGTCATCTTTATTGCTCAGCGCAGGCTTTCGTTGTGTTTAGTGTTTGCTGAATCTGTCGAAGACTCTTTTGAAGTGCTCTGTGTGGATGTATTCGCTGAAGACTACAACTTCAGAATGATAGCAATCTACAGAACTCCTTCATGCTCTAGAGCAAATTCGGACTTGCTTATCAAAGCGCTCAGTGACTTGATATCATGCGATAAACATACTGTGATTATGGGTGATTTCAATCTTCCAGAATTTTGCCAAGAAGAGGTGGTTCTTCCAACGTCACCTGTGGTATCCTGTCTAAGTGAACTTGCTCAATGTCATAACCTCACCCAGTATGTCAAGAATGCCACAAGGGGGAATAGTATTCTTGATTTAGTTTTTTCCAATGTCCCAAATTTAATAGAAAATCTTACAGTTAGCGCTCCGGTGGGTTTAAGTGATCACAATAGTATCGAATTTCAAATTTCGTGTAACTCGTCCTCCCCTATCTATGTTTATAGACGCATAAATTCAAACTAAATCAAGAATACTATTCCCCCTTGTGGCATTCTTGACATACTGGGTGAGGTTATGACATTGAGCAAGTTCACTTAGACAGGATACCACAGGTGACGTTTGGAAGAACCACCTCTTCTTGGCAAAATTCTGGAAGATTGAAATCACCCATAATCACAGTATGTTTATCGCATGATATCAAGTCACTGAGCGCTTTGATAAGCAAGTCCGAATTTGCTCTAGAGCATGAAGGAGTTCTGTAGATTGCTATCATTCTGAAGTTGTAGTCTTCAGCGAATACATCCACACAGAGCACTTCAAAAGAGTCTTCGAACAGATTCAGCAAACACTAAACACAACGAAAGCCTGCGCTGAGCAATAAAGATGACCCCACCTCCAGGTTTTTTTGGCCGATCACATCTAATAATATCATAGTTATCAGTTATCGTACCCAGAATAGAGGTCAATGTGTGATTAGGTTTCAACCAAGTCTCTGAGAAGGCGTATATATCATAATGTTGAGTCAGCAATATGCGTAAAAAGTCTGAGTTTTTAGAGACTGATCGGATGTTACAATAGAAAAACCTCAATGAGCGAACGTACCGAGGAAAACGTCTCAGTTTCCCTCGATATTTTCGGAGCGATTGGTCGCATCTCTAGAATAGATGGTAACATCTTGACTGTTATTGTAGGTTGACGTACCATCTCGATTCCTAGTTATGCGATTACGCTCTTCTCGCCTTTGTTGCCTCTGTTCTAAAGTTAGGGATTCTCGTATGTAGACTCCCTTTCCAGAAAAATGACGCAGTCGTGGTGCTCTCTTTAAAATCAACCTTTGAAAAACACGAGAGGGTAACACTACTTTTAACAGTCTATTTTTTCCTACTAGAGGTCTTCCTAAACGATACACTGTCATTGGGTTACACTCAACGTTCAAGAAATCAAGTATATTACACACACTTGCGAAATCATAAGATAGGCGTTCTCTAGAATTTTCAGATTTCAGCTCAGGCACACCACTAATAACTACAGAACGAAGCCTCTCGACTTCATGGTATGGTAATTCCTCTCGTACGGGAGGAACATGACCAGAAGTCGCTGGCCTCTGAACTTCAGATACGCTGTTATTATGGCTATTGGTCGACATTTCACGGGGCATTGTGTTGCGAATATTCTCCAACTCTTGCCTGAGCCCTTGGTTTTCAAGGCGAAGAGACTGTAATTCTTGAGTGATAGCGTTGATTACTTTCTTGATTCCCTCCGTGACTCGACTCGATTTCGTGATCTCCTCGACTTGTTTCTGGAGTTCTTTTGGGAGCACCATTTCCATCGGTTTGCTGCCATTTTGCTGGCCTTTTCCACCTTGCGTTTTGCTGCTTCGAAGATCCATAGCAAAATAGTAGCAGATAAGAGCAAAAGTTGGATCGTCAAATATAGCAGCTTTCTCTCTGCCTTACAATAAGCAAGAAGAAACAATATTATACCTTCGTTGGTGGCACACAAATGAACCAGAGATTGCCCACGTGCCACAGTGAGCAGAGCGAAGGTCCTTCGAACAGGAAAAGCAGGATACTCAGGTAGAACAAAGTCGAACTAGGCGTTGAATAAGAAGCGATGAGAGCGGTATGGTTAAGCAACCGCACACAAGCCGTTCGACAATGAGAATGAAAGAAAGAAAACTTCAACATGTAAAGAGCCATCGCTGGAATATGATTACACTTTAGCATTCAAACAGGTGCTTCTCCCGCAAAATTTTGTATATACGATGTACGCTAGAAATGACGGCGTAACAGGATGAAGTTCTGGAAGATCCAGAAGTTTTACTATAATTTATCTAATTCCAGAAAATCCTATGATCTTCAGTCTTCTTATCAACTTCTTGAAAACAGCAGCATATTTCGCATCATGCTACCATTATCGGTTTTTCAAAACCTATTCTACTTTTTCTATACATTCGGCAGCGCTATATCAGCAGCTAGAAATGCTCACATATGTGACGTTAACATCTGCAACGTATGTGAGTTCATACTTCGCTCATTGTTAGTTGATAGAATCAACGATAAGATAGAAGAAGTTATATCTGCTGATATGCCTCCTTCTCTAACGGGCAGAATCTCGAGTTATATCTGCTGATATGTCTTTAACGCAAATAGAGCTTATCTGGTGAGGCAAACACAGTAACAGAAAACCATTGTACCGAACCAGAGAAGATATGACATTCGAATAAGCATTGCTCAGTAAGTCTCTTGCGATTTTAAATAAGCTCATTGCGACCTTATGGAAGCATGAAACAAAAGCAAGAAATGTAAACATTCTAGTTTAGTTTTCGACATTTTAAGCACAAACTCTCTCACAATCAGAGGCAAGCCCTGGATTAGCCTCACTAGCCCTAGAGACCGTTAGAGGGACTGTAGAGCCAGTAACTACGATCAGGTCAGTTTCGTCAGACAAGTTGACAATTAAATTGTTGATTCTTACGTGTCTGCAGATCGACCCCCGTTGCAACGCTTCCCACCCATTTCGATTGATTTAGTTCATTCCGCGGATCATACATCGCTATGGCGCGCTCATATACGACAGTTTCATCCTGGGGTTTGCCTTTAGATTTTGTGCTACCACTTATTAGTAACCAGGTCGGTTCTGCACGCCACCGGGTGCATGACAAATACTCCATGAAACTGTGCAACTTAGTTGGGAATCGTGTTCCACGGCTAGTACAAGCGTCTATTTATTTTTCTAGAATTCCGATTGTATGCTACGCTGCAACACCTTTGCGTCCATTTGAAATATTCGAAACATCGACCATAGTCGGGCTACCATGCTTTAGAATAATCTCCTGCTATCCTACATTATATAATTCGCTAGATATGTCGGTTTGTGTGTGTTGTGCGTGCGTCCATTTGTCACGCAATTCATAGCTGCTTCGCTGCAACCATGAGACACTGTTCAGGTATGATGTAGGGGGTAGGGCGGGAGCATATTTGTGATGGCTGATTAGAGGCGCTAGAAAGCGAATCTGACAAAATTCATAGCGTGCGTTCCAGCAGCAGTGGGGAGGTGGCGTAGTATAATTTGCTAAGTATCTCTGTTCTTGTGCATGTAGGTCTGTGTGTTTGCCACTAAATTCATACCGCGCCCAGCAGCAATGAGGCGTTGCGTTCCAGGTATAAGATAGAGGGTGGGAAAGACATACCTGGTGAGTGACAAAAAGTGGTAACGATTGATAACAATTGATTGTAGCCCTAAAACACAAATGTTGTCTAATTCACGGCGCGCAGTTTAACAGCAGTAAGGAGGTTTCCCAGGCATGATTCAGATTGTGCAGACTGTTCGGTGGGTGGCAGAACGGGATAACCATGATAAATACTGACAACAGATAAGCGCGAGAGCGGATGCGGTATCAGAGTTGTTATCCAGAGACAGCGACAAGAATATGTTCTATTTCGTTATCGGTATCGGCATCAAGATCCATTCGACCGCCAATCTGCCTGAGCCTCTTAGTATGGCCGGTGTTCGTAGAAACAAGATGAGTAATGGTTTTTCTACTTCAGGGTCACCAGCATGAAAAGCTACCGAACTTCTATATCACCCCATTACCTGAAGAAAGGTAATAAGATGATTTGACCTGAAAGCTGATAAGCAGCGCAAGTGATCATGTTAGCCATGCAAAGTTTATTCGGCCCCTAGACCATATAAGTGTGAAAAAAATGGATATTATGGATATTTTTATGGGTGTGGATCACGAGATATAGTTATTTTATCGCTAGAATTATAGTGATATCTCGTTGATAATATCAGTCAAATCCATTAAAAGCATGTTTGCGCTGCATACCAGCCCTGTATGCTCATTTCTACTTGAGTGTATTTCGCATGTGCCGCGCCAGCGAGCGGAGTCAACCTGCTATATTCAGACGCCCTCATCCGCACTCAAAATAAAGAAGTCGGCTAAATGGACCTTGCAAACAAAAATCTTGGGCTAATTACTGTCAATCTCTCTTTATCATCTATCACACCTCGTCAAAAATCCAGCCAACTCGGTCGAAGGAAACCTGCGGCTTTACTCAAAAAATCTTTTGTTGATATTTAGATGAACTTAGAGGCGACCTATTCCTGCTCGAAGTCAACTCGGTGATTAATGATAACAAAATCATGGAAACTACTCATCATTATTACTAAGAAGCGTACTTATGCCTCCGTTATTTCGTTAATGAATTCCAGAGATGGTATACGAATTGTTCATGTTCGCTTGCAGTTCGCTTAAGAATCAAGTGTTCCTAACCCTAACTTTCGAGGTGGCCAAAATCAGTGACGGTGGGTGGAAGACCCATTGAGTGCCGGCGCATGACTTGAAGTTCATGGACAAGTTTGCTGCGTTATTGCGAAATGATGTGGAAATGGTGAGAAAAGTGGCCCACCGCATCATGAATAGGCGCCGTTCCATTTCCGAACTGTAGAACTTCTCGTTTCCGCGACATTTCGTCGGAGCGCTGAAGAAAGATTGGTGCTCTATAAAGTGCATAATTTCGAAAAGCTGTGTTTCCCCAGTCCAGTTTAAGATTACCCAATGATGAGCACGATTCCTTTCCCCATTACTGGCTCTGGAGGACGCCTCAAAGCTTCATCCCTGTCTACTACAGTCAACTTCACTTCTTCTGTTGTTACAACTCCATTTTTTTGTCGTGACGACAAGTAAATTCCTTCTCTTCTAAGATTAGAGATAAGATTTTGTTTCGTAGAACGAACGAAAATTTTGACAACCTTTCTTTTGTTTGTTTTTGCTCAGCTTCTTCATGAGCAGCTTTCTCATCCCTCACCCTCACCCTCTTATCCCTCAAATTTTAGAACGCATGAGGCACCCTCATGCGTTCTAAAATTTGATGCGGTTGCTCCTAGTTGTGTTGCTAGCTATCTGAAGTGTGACGACAAAACGTGGGCAACTTGAACTTTCCACCAGTCTCTGAGGCTGCATTAGCAGCAAACCAACGCCTTAACTGCCCACCTTCATGATGAAATTTCTCATGAACGGAATGTCGAGACCATCACTATTCCCCATGGCTTCAATGTTCGGTGATATTGAGCGATTTCAGCACAGCACTATTCCGCAGTTTTATTCTCAAAGATCTCCAACCTTTCTCGGGAAGAACATGGCCATTACTTTTCTACTTTTCTAGTGTCGCAGTAAATGCTGTCAATTTATAATGCTTCACCGAGAAGAACGCAGGGAGAATGGATTACCATAGCATACATACTAATCCTTTTCCTACTTCCCTAGCTAGCTCTGAGTCTCAGTCGTTATCATCATCATCGTTATCATATCGTTATCTTCTTTCTATGTCTTCATCCTTCTCCTAACTAACATGGAAGCGCCAACCGCGTACTCCTGCTGCGAACGACAGTCATAAGCTGATGGTGGTAGCAATTTCTCAGTTCTTATCATATATATGTGTAATACCGCTAACTCGATAGCTTTATTCATGCTAATGACATGGAACGGAACACCCATTTCACATCAGAATTTCACTAAACACCTACAACATTAAGTTCTCAATCTTTTAGGAGCTGAATGGATCACGGCGATGATTACGAGATATTAAGAGGGAAATGAAAATGAATGCTCACATGCCAACTATGTGTAGTAGGATAACTGATCGCTCCAATATTTGCTTTGTTGATTTCCCTGGTTTCAGACAATTCCATACTACACGATGATGTCACCAGTTCTTATATGGTTCGCCATACGATGGTCACAGCAGCTGAAAGTGACAAAGTTGAAGATGCTCACCAAATCTCATTCAAAGGAAAACGATGTGTATTTTCGTTCTTATAGAGAGGCATGGAACAGACCTGAAATAAAGTGATAATTTGTGATAGCATCGCTGCGAAGTGTAGGAAGGGCCCCAAGCACATGCTTCATGATATAGAGGTCTATAGATCTTGAGCACAGTCATATTAGTGAGTTTATTGCTGGGTTCCATTTTCAAAGGGAAGGCGATTATGCAGTCGGGAGAAGCATTTTGATGCAGAGACAGCGTTATCCACTGTGATACTTACAGTCGAGATCCGAAAGTTGGGGTAGGCGTGTCACCGGAAGTGACGTGCACTTGATAGAAGTTGCGTGGATAAGCTGTTGCCAGCATGCTTTGCTGATATCCAGCGATGTATGTTGGAAGCAGCTTATCCACATAGATTCTATCAAGTGCACGTCACTTCCGGTGACACGCCTACCCCAACTTACGGATCTCGAGTATATACTTGAAGAGCTCTCGAGGGTTGCGATTTGCTAGCTGACGGATTACTTCGCTTTCTGCTTTTTTTCTTTTTGTATGTTGTACAGGTTTCTGCTCCAGATGGAGAAGCAGAAATAATTATGGTCAAAGGATGTAATTTTCTAGAGCGTAGAAGAGCTCGCGGGCAAAGAGGCTGGTGTCACCCCTCCAGTTCACGAAGAATTCGCGTAGTTCCTTCTAGCCAAAGCTCTTTCTCCTTTCAACTTCATTGTCTTGACTGATAAAATTAAAAACCCATCCCGATGCTCCCTCACTCCTCCAGAACTTTTCGCGCTAACGTTGTTGAGGGAGAGGCGGGCACTGGCGTGGCGCTGTGTTTGTCTGCGCGGCAGTAGCAGTGAGCGCTTTTCGATCAACGGGAAAGCGCTGCCACCGCCGATGAAGAGGTCCTGTGCGAACACAATTGCGAGGGTCCTCAGACTATTTCCAAGAGAGTGGATGATCTCAGACAAAAAAGATCACTGTTTGTGCATTTCAAGGTTTCACCCACCCCTTAAGACTGAGCCGCGACTTCAGCGTCACCGTCACGTCACGCATTCCACTTCCATTTGAACGGCTGGGCCACCTTCATTTTTTCGTGATCCTTTACAGACCTGTCTGGTAGCCATCAACCTTTTACCAGACCTGGCCGTATTGGTTAAAACGCTGAGTGAACCTGAACGGCGCACGATTTACTCACTTCGACAGTAGGCGTAGTAAACAGGCCTCCTGGCGCTCCAACACTTCAATTTTCTCAGTGAAATATAGGCTGTACGTCGTTGTTTTGAACGCTCTCTGGGTTACCTCGTCAAAATATTCCCAAGTACGTGCAAATGAATACAAAAGCGTCAGTGGAACAGTACTTGAGTAGCCGCGTTTGCAAAAATTGAGAAATAGCGAGAGTTGCCCTTACCAGAGAGTTGTTCGGATTTATTCAAAGATCCGATAGTTATTCTAGGACGCCTTAGCGCAGAAAAAAGCAAAATGCTGCACGTCAATCATGAGATTTGGCTGCATCTCTTGTTGATACATTGCGTTGAAAATTACAAAGGCACCTTTGAAACAGGACCCCTTGTGTAGCCGTTCTTTTTGTTCACAGATAGACGGCTAATGCGGCGGACGCAAGGGCGACTTTGCCACAACGCGTCGTTGAATGTTCCACTCAAGATGCTCCAGTGTCCCTGCTGGCAACGCAGCTTGTCCAAATCACCAATTAAACCAGTGGAGTCTAACGTTTCTAGAGCGGAGACTTTCGAAGTCTGCTCAGCAACCAGCGCACCTTTCGTCGTGAAAGCGCCACACCTCGCTTCCTTGGCAGCCAAGTAACTGCTTCGTGTGGCGCACAACAGTACTTCTCCGATGCGCTACTCTTTATCGTAATCACTTCCTTCGAAGGCAGTGGGAACAATGACTGACAATGAGAGCCAGAGCGCGATGATGCCGTTGGTAAAACATTTAGTGGTGCTAGAAAACCAACATCCCCTCATCATAGATGTACGATGACGTCGCCAAACTTTCTGCATCTCAACCACCACCCCCAGCGGCCTTCAGCTGTCTGGATCATATTCATGTGAGATTTTTTTCTGATGGTTCTTGACACAGACATATTTTCTGTTTCCTCGTATGTCTTTGAATAAACAATTTCGGCATGAGCGAGCATGAATCTCTCTACATTGAGTGACTAACGCTACTAATGAGGAGAGCATTCATAGGGCTAGAACGCTTGTAAAATTGCGATCTCCACTATTTTTATCCGAAATGATCATTGGATGTAGCATCCAAAGCTAGTTGCTTATCTAGGTTGGAGTTTGATGCTACGCTACGAAGCTCGAAGTTATTATCGTGTTGGCTTCCTGGTCTACTTATTTGAGAATCTCGAGAAATTCTTCACAATTATTTGTCACAGACCAGTTTAGCAAGCAGCAGTACTGCAGAATCATGCACCCCAAAGCAAGGGTGTGAGACGGGAGCGTCTAATATCTACTACACATAACAGCCGACCTTCTCATGCTGCAAACTGGAAGTTCCTAGGCGTCACACGCGCCAATGAACTCAGTCCTTTTACTTTTTGTTAATTTTGGCTCACTTGTGTGTATGACCATCCCTTTCTAAGAGAGTCTAGCCATTTGCGATCTTGTTTTATTGCGCCGGAGATGCTGCGCTTTTTTATTACTTGAGCGTGCAAACATCATTTAAGATGGAGTGGAACTTGAAACACGTTTATATTCCGCATCATTAGCCATCTAACTGTAGCATCCCAACAGGGCTTCGAGATCGTAGTCCTCCAACCTAACGAAAAATTGCATGGGCCATGGGGACGGAACTGATACTATCTGTATGATTCTGCTCTAGGAACAAATACCGATATAAGCCGAATACGGGTTCGCCACCAGCTGGAAGTAGCTCAGCAACCAGTGCGATCTCACCATCAGAAAGGCCCTTCACTATTTGTAAGCTCCCTTTGCTGAGAATTCTTATTACCGACGCACAACGACGACACCGTTACGAGCGCGGACATCAACGTGGAAATAGAAGAACCGACAGGGACATCGGCTTTTCTCTCCCATTATATTAGCATGAACTCGCGGAAGGACGGATAGCATGTGTCTCGTTTCACTGCTAAGTTTTTGAAGAGTAATCCTTTCGATTATTGCGATCAAATTAAAACGGACTCCGACCATTCTTTGCGTCAGAGACAGCATAATTTTGGGGTAGAGGTACCCCTAAGTCATTAGATGACGAAATGTTGGACTGAAGTGAAATAAAGAATTGAAGCGATTAGACGTTCTGTTAATTATTTCAATGAATGGACCTTACAACAAGAATAGGCATCGGTTTGTTTATGTCGATATCACATCCCTACAAGTTTACAACTCGACACAATAATATGCTCTTTACTATTCTAGGGGAACAACGCAGGCAGATCTATGGGAACGAATCCTTCCGAACTATAAAGTGGACCCCTAGAAGCAATCACAGATGGGGCACTCCCCTGCACGAACACCCGGCAAGAGCACTACGATCTTGTGAGATGAAACGCCTGCAATGTACTCCTTCACCAGGCCGTTGTCTGGCTCCCTCTCATCTGTCAGCGTTTCTATCGCCTCATAGTCTTCCTCCGCGCTGAACCTCTATAACTTTCTTAGCCAAGCAGCCTATTTTGCTGCGAGTGAGTGGCCGTTAACTTCAGCTGTGCCCGGAACCACAACGGACAGTGATCCCAAACGGCCAATATGCCCCTTTCGAAACGGATAAGTTTTTTATTAGAATCCAAAGTAATGCTCTTCTCGGCTTAGCGAGAATGTTTATGTTTCCTCTTCCATCTTGCTCTAGTTAGGTGACCGCTCCCATTTTCATTACTCACCCAGGAATAGAGCTGCCTGTTCCTTGTGCCTCCGATCTCAAAAACGCCAGTGTCGGTGTTACAAGTCTACCCCCTTTTCTGCCACTAGAGCTGTAGTAATAAATGGCACCGCGCTTACCAACGCGCACCAGCCATCGGCGATTAAATTGCGGCTTTACATAAAGATTACGCCCCATATATCTGACTAGCAACGCCCTGCACACCCAGCTCGCGGTGGGCCGATCGACCAAATTCATTATGGATTTAACACACTAGCTGTGTTCGAGCACTTACCCCCTAGGATTACTGTAACATACTCAATTCGGCTGGTTGAATCTCAAGAAAAGTTTGGAAAGTACTCTAATACGCGTGCCCGTAGCTGAAATTGAAGTCAGATTCTGCAACGTTTCAACCGCGTTCGATACTTGAGACTTTATGATCTAGAAAAGGCTAACAAAATTCACGATCATTATAGGCGTGGTTTTTCAAAAATTATTTATTTCATGCTACGATCTCAACCTTAGAGAAAACCGTAATTTTTAATTAGACGAGCCGCAATCACTAAAGGTGGAACGTCTAATGAAAGGTAGTTGCTGCCCGAGCAAACAAGTGTGAAAAAACGGCAGACTCACACATTTCATTTGTTGAGGAAAAGAACGCACATTGAACGTTCAACAGATTGATGTCGGTTTTGAAGTAACACTCAAAACAAAGCGTCAGTTCTGTTAAAGCCACTTTAAGACCGAAAGACAAAACTCACCACAACTTAGTCCCATTCCTTATGACCAGAGATCTCTAGTCGCTCCTGGTGTTTGTTTTCACTTAATATCCTGTTCGAGTTGTTAACTTCTGACGGACTCGTCACGGATTCTTATTTATTATAATAGTATATATAATAATTATCACACTCTAGTACTATATATATATATATTCATTCCACACAGGTATACCTGTGTAATGAGCGCTTGCAATTCTCCTAGACTCTTAATCAAGTAGCATTCCGATAACTGATATATATCCCGGCCGATGCACCAAACTGTCCTCGGTGGTTCAATTCCTTCTTAACTCACCACTTTATCCTTACAGCGGAGCAAAAAGCGCTCTGAAGAGCTTAAATACGCCAAAAACATCACAACAAAGTAAATCTCCCATTAGACATAAAAAGAATGAACAACAACATATGTAGCATAGAAAGTCGCGATTGATCGCGACAATATTGTTTGTGCCAACCTTGAGAATTTCTTCTTAATAGACCGCATTAATTCACACCTCTGTCGGCAAAAATTATGGAAGCTTGCTTGAAGCCCTGATACATCCCAAAATCATTCAACTCTTATTAAACAACATTCTTGAGGGTGTTCAGCTATTACGAATTTTGCGAGCTAGGTTTACAAATAAGAGGCGATTCTGGGAGCTTCAGCTCCTTGGACGCTGAACTTTTTCTATGAAATCTACGGACGACCTCAGGTGGTCGCACGTGGAAAAATACGGTAAGTTCTGATATTTTTCCTTTCCATCCTAACGAGCGACTGGAGATTATCCAAGCGACTAGAAATTGTCCATTTGATAAACAATGCCTCCAATACGGCGTTTTATTTTCACTACAATTTGAGTCGATTCTTGGGGAGTGTCGAGCTCTGTCGCACTCCTTTCCAAGCTCTGGTGATCCTATCGGTCATTCCCTTTTTAATTAGGTCGTTCAGAAAGTTCTGTTGTTTTTCGATCCCGAATTTTAAATTCATGTATCGCTTTTAAACGAAACCCCTCAGATTAAGTTAAAAACCTTTCGAATGCGCGAACACTTCGCTTCAAGAGTTCTTTATTGGGTTTTTTTGAGAACTCTGGTGCT